CAATTATTTCTACTTATTATTTTATGTTTTTCGACGAAAAATAATTTAATATTTAGGTATATTGTTAGGTATATTTTATTAAACAAATAGTAAATATAAGTAATGCGAGTATTACATTCATTATGTCCATAACAGTAAGAATTAGTCTCGTGTAATCTTTAATACAACGTACTAAAAATTAAACCTACCTATAATATTTAAATACTGTGCATTTCTTGTTCTCTAACGTAATTATTGAAGTCCTACCTGCTCTCTCACGGCTGTAATTTAAATCTATTAAATATAATTAGTATAGGCCAGCAGAAATAATATAATTATTGGCACTAGTGTGTTTATGTTTCAAGCATAACCTATGAAACTGCGTATTCTAATACATTCTTTAAATAGAATATAAATTCATAATGAATGAATGAATGAATTACTCTTTATGGTACACCCAAAAAGAGAAAAAAAATATACAATATAATATAGAAGAAGGTACAAGAGGCGGCCTTATCACTAAAAGAGCGATTTCTTCCAGGCAACCTTTCATATTCACACAAATATCCTGTGAGTAGTCATTAAAACTTTAAAGTAAGTGAAAATATTTATTTCAAAAAATTATAATTGCAAATAAATATATTTTTATTTTCCTCATGATATATATATATATATATATATATATATATATATATATATATATATATATATATATATATATATATATATATATATGTGTGTGTGTGTGTGTGTGTGCGTGTGTGTGAGTATGGATGGATGGTTATTCTTTCACACCAGAACGGCTGAACGGATCTGGATGGAATTTGACACAGAGGTAGATTATAGTCTGGAATAGCAAATAGATTACTTTTATTCCGGAAAAATGTATGATTCCTATGAGAAAGATTTGTTTTTGTCTAGGGATGAACCCGAAACGAAGCTAGGGTGAGTCGCTAATAAAACAATATATGTATGTAATATTTGTTTCGTTTGTTTCAAACTAAAAACTACTTAAACATATAATTTTTGTCTCTTATTTAATGTTAAAAATATTATTATAATTTATTTAAATATTTTCTAAACAATTTATTATTTTTATAACAAAGCATAATATTTTGAAAAAATGTAAAAATCAACAAGAAATACAAATATTAAAATTTCTGTACTTTAACATTTTGTAATATAAACGTTAGTGTTAGTAAAATTGTAGTCATGGATATTTACCGACATTATAAAGACATAAAAAATATAAACATACACGTAGGCGTCTACCTTTTCTGTTATAATAAGCTAATGATACTCACAAAAAAGTGTTATTAAGAGTTTTTTTTTATTGATACCTATATATTTTCAGTTACACTATCAGTAGTCGCAGGCCAACCAGTATTAGTACTTATATTATAAAAATCGGTCAAGTGCGAGTCGAATTCGCGCACGAAGGGTTCTGTACCATCGTACAAGTACTTTTTATTAATATGACTATTACTCTATGTATGTTATATAAACTTAGACGATCGATTACGAACATTAAAAAATGTTTCTTGTATTTTTATTTCTTTATTTTTATTTATTTTTATTATTTGTTGTTATAGCGGGAATAGAAATATTCTGTGCAAATTTCAACTCAACCTCTCTACTTATTACGGTGTATGAGATACAGCCTGATCTGTGAGACGGACGAACGGACAACGGAGGCTTAGTAATAGGGTTCCGTTGGCACCCTTTGGGTACGGAACCCTAAAAAGGAAAGACATGTAAGTTTCTTTTTCTTTAAATCAACAAACTCTAAAGCAACAGGATTGATTTCAATAACTATTTTATCCCAGAGTATCATTAGGACTATAAACTACCATTGTTTTTGTCTAGCAAGATGGAAAAATATTCATATTTTGCATGGGTTTGCCTGTGTGGTTGTACAAAAAACAATGTATAGTCGCAAACAATATGTAGATAGGTATTTATAGATCTACAAAAGCCTGAGATACCATTTATCTAACTTTTATATTATAGCACACAGGTAATATGTAAATCTACTTCCTATTATGTTAAAAAATATTTTTTTACTAAATAATATTTAATTTATTATTTAAACTATACAATTTTAATCTTCATAGAAATAAGTTATTTCAAAATCACAAGTATTTAATATAGCCGTTTACTAATTTTACTAAATAAGGAGATAACAAAAAATTAAAATAAATTATAACTACAGTGCTGATGATTTTATACATACGTTAAATATTTTCATTAGGTAGTCATATTTTTATAGACCAGCAAAAATGGTCTTAAAAATCCTCTATGTGCATAAATTTTGAAATAAAAAAAATTGAACCTATGTCTAGCATTTCTAACGATCTAAATTATTATCTATTCTTATTACATAATTAGCATTTTGTATGCTATAGAAAGAAAGTTTTTTAATGAATTGCATAAAATTTTATTTAATAATGTTGAAATAATGATTTTGTATTGTATTGCTGTCAACACAATTAGGTTTTATAATCTGTAGTTGTATCTTATAAAATAATATTTTTAATCTGTGTCAATTTTGTATCAAGAAAGAAAAGCGGCATCATGTTTCGTGGCGATAATAAAAAGTAAAAAGTTTAAAGTATAAATTGTTAAAACATTAAAATACTGTGTGAGAAATGAAAACTTTATAATAAATAGTTGATTGAAGTTGTGCATCGTTTTATTAAATTAACAAATAACACATTCTTTTTTTTTATTTCATTTCCAAGTCTTACTTAATTTTAAAAATATAACTAACGAACGAACGAAAGACGATTTAACAATAGATCCGCATGGCTTATCACCGGATTTTATTAGATGAACAAGCCTTTAATCTCTAAGATAAGCGCTTATGTAAGTAATAGCCGTTTAATCTTACGCTTAGGTACTGCAACTTTACATTTCCTATGTTTATGTATCCTGTACAAGCAATAAATTTGTATTTGATTTGAATTTGCCACCATTTCGATACAGCTTGTTGCTTGAACTTATCTTTAATGTCATAGGTACGTGTATTAATGTTATACTCGTACATGTAATAAGGTTGTCAATTGTGTATGTGTTGTATTTGTCCAAAATTATTAATTTAAAGTTATTTTAAATAAAACTATATTTCCGAATTTTTAGCGGATTTATTTTTTTCTATATATTATAATTTTATTTAAAATGGCAAATGTTCGCGTAGATCCAAGAAATATTACTTCAAAGTCATAATAATAGTAATTTATAAGGATTTTAAATTTATACGTTCTCCCAATATAATGTTTACCTACATGTAATGTAAAATGTTATTTTTATATACATAATCTTTAAAATATTTTCAGTCTACCACTTTTACATAATTCAATTCAATAAATTTTTATGACAATAAATCGTTTTGTAAAAGATAAATTGAATACGTCATACGATTTCTACCTATATATATGAAATATTATATGATATTTTTTATGTACATTAAAGCTCATCATCATTGGTAAAACTTATTAATTTATTTACCACATATATCTAAAGCGAACATTTTTTTACATCTAAGGTAACCTTGTTACAATTTACTACAAAAAATGATCCGTCTAAATTTAATAATTTATTATATTTTTAATGATATGGAGGTTTCAAGTATTACTATTAAAATATATGAATGAATTTTCTGTTGCGAACTAAATAGGTAGGTACCTATATTGACCCGTCATTTAGTTTAACATTTTCCTGTTCTACTGTCAAAAATATCTCAACTTTTTCAGCATAACATAACAACAAAAAACTAGGCATCTAATTTGAAATAAGCTAAACCCGTAAAATAAACGTACCTATGTTCAATACAAAAAGTAAACATAAGAACTTCATGCTTTAGCAGTTACAAGCAATTGTTATTTTTAGATATTTTTTTTTGTAAAATAACTTAAAATATTGCTCTGAACAGAGACTGTTACCAACCTAATTATTCGTGTTATAATTAATCATAGCTTATTAGATAATGAAGTAAGTTCTTCTATCGGTTTAGTATTGATCAACATTCACCGGAAATGCTACTGGTATCTAGAAACCGATCTATCGGTTAATTAGCCCGATCGATACAATGCAGGCAATGTCCTGTGATCACATTTCGCCCACTCATCGCAGCTGCGTGAAAAATATATGTCAACTATCATCGATGCATACCTTAGAACACGAAATTAAGGCTTTTATTCTATCCTACATACACACCTACATGGATTTCAACAATTATTTTTCAAAATATATTATTAATATTTTCAGTTACTAAAATTTGACTGATTTAAAAATCACTAAATAAGTGGAATGTAACTATCGATACCTGCTTATAAAAAATTTAATTAAATTCTTAATAAAGAAAGATATATTATGTATGTATAAACATATAGTTAGTTATCGACAAGTCGACAATCATATTTTATAAAAATCAATAATGAATTTTTGGTATAGGTACATATGTAATTGTACTATATATACTTACATATAGTGATAATAATTTTTAATAAAAATTAAACCGTCACGCCGTCGGAACATAAACCATATAATATGTAAAAATTTTAACATGGTATTGTAATTCCTTATTAAGTAGGTATAACGTAAAAGTAAAGATTTTTTTCTTTTTGATAAATATTATTTATTGTCTCATTATATTTTTAAATTATATCGTAGGTATAAAACTTATATTTTTAAATTCATGGTCATTTTCATATTTTATATCACTTTAGTGACAGGTTCGCAATTAAATGGATTCTTATTAGATTTTCCTATACAATTGTTTTTATGATAATAACTGTTAAAATGTGGTTAGAGTTAATTATAAAAGTATGTAAAAACATAACATGTAAATATATATTATTTTAAAGAAATTTGGCTAAACATGTTTACACACCTGCCATTAATGATCGCCCAATATACTCGCACAAATGAGTATTATTGCTAGGCAGTTTTAATTTAAAAAAAAAATTACGAATGCTAATTTTAAATTTGCAGATGCATCTGAGGGAATAACTGAAACTTACCGTTTGGCGAAATATTTAGTGACTGGGTGATGGATGCGGGCACCGGTGGCGCCGGCTCCATCTTCCAAGAGGCGCAGCACGAGGCAGGTGAGAAGTCAGGTGTAGGGCCGCTGCCCGCCGATATCAACATGGTCGAGCCACCGTGGACAGCATACGCACCAACCAACACTACAGTTCACGGTATTAGTTCTATCAACCTATCAAGTCGAGCCACGGACACCAAGCCAGCACACGCTCGCTCGAAGCTCAGTCAGAACACTGAAGAGCGCGCTTGCCGCACCGGCGCGCCCACTCGCGCGCCTACTTCCATTAGCACGCCTCGGAAAAAATCACCGCCGCCAAACAATAACAAAAAACTGCCTCCGCTAACTCGAACCTCCATACACCTCTCACTCTAACGCTCTTAATTCGATTTCCGAACGCGTCAAAACTACGGCGGCGCTCGATTTATTTGCAACCTTCCGTCCTGTTCTTCGTGTTTACCCAACTCTATGGAACAGTATAGAATTTAAAAAGACGTCTATAGAGACTATTTTTCTTTAACAATTTACTAAATTATAAGCCCTTCTCGTCCCCGGTTTGAATAAAACTACTCCTACTCACACTCGTACGATTCAGCTTAAGCTTGAACCGTATGAAAGGGACAGGTGCTCTACCGCTCGGTAGTAGAATTATTACAGTAGTGAGCACAGGTGATCTTTCACCATTTCTTCGTAACGAAGGTGTTAATGTATACCTTTCCCGTTCTAGCTCGTAATAAATTGTCAATAGTGACAAAGACAAAGATATAATAATGATTACTTCTTAATTAGTCGTAGGTCTAGTTAATCATGCTTAGCATTCTAATAGTTGGTGTAACGGGCGCGCTCCATTCTAATTAAATGGAAGAGTAGAGTCGTCATATTAAACTTTATTACATACTCTGCGCACTTCATTTTCAGGATGTATGTATTAATTATTTATTATTTGTATGGGATTGTGTCGGTGGTCTACTATCATGTTATGCGTTATTTTAATGTTAGGGGGAAAAATATTTTAATCTGTGACTGTAAGAGCCAAATATACGGTAGTCTTTGTAAGTAGGTAATGTACCTATCTATTTACTTAGTTTGAGGTGAAATCTTTCTAGAATTCTGTTTACATAAAATTGAGGGTAAACACTACACTTACATTCAATCCATTTATCAATATCCATACTTTAATATTATAAATGTGTGTGTGTGTGTGTATTATAAGTGTGTGTGTTTGTTTGTTTGATTGTTTGTTTTTTTTGTTTGTTTGTTTATCCTTCTTTCACGTGAAAACAGAGTGACGCATTGGCGTGACTTTTTATGTGGAGATAGTTGGAGCGCTGGAAAGTGATTTAGGCTACTTTTTACCGCGGGAAATCATCTCATTCCCACGGGAAAACATGTTATAATACAACCGAAAAATTAAGTATGATCAGAATTACTTGAAATTTGGTATAAATGTTCTTCAATACAATTAAGTAAATACGTTTTTTAGCATTTTTGGAAATTCATCCCATAAGGGGGTAAAATAGGGGATTTAAGTAAGTATGAAACCTACCTTTTCAGACTTTTTTGTAGTTTTAACGCGAGCGAAACCGCGGGTTTTGCTAGATAATTATAAATGTGAAAGTGTGTTTGTCTGTTTGTCGTTCTTTTACGTCGAAATAGAGTGACGGATTGGCATGTTTTTTTTGTGTGGAGATAGTTGGAGGACTGGAGAGTGACACAGGCTTATATTTACGGCAGGAGATTATCTCATTCCCACGGAAAAACACGTTATAATACAACCCACAACAACTCATCATACCTATGTACCTATATCTTCTATCTATTCCATACTAATCGTTAAAACATACCTAGGGACGAACCCGAGCGAAGCAAGGGTGAGTCGCTTGTTTGTAATAGGTATATGTAAGTAGCGGATATCAGTATAATATTTTTATTTATAATTACAGGAGGAAGAGAATATAGCAAGTACCAATATTATACTGAATGGGCCAACATACAATATAACTACCGCAGCTTCAATCCATTCCTTTGATTATAAGTAAGTATACTTTCTTTGTGTTAACTTCAATTCATAGCAATCTTGATCGACATTGTGGTTTCCGTATACATGTCTTATTTCTTTGCTTTCTGTCGACGGTAGTAAAATAATTACATGTACCTAAATAATTATACAATTTCAAAATTATATTACAATAAGTACGATTAAAAAACGATTAAAATGTAATAATTAGCAAAATCTTTTTAAAGAGTAGGACCACCTACTTTTTATGACTATATTTTTTTCTGGTTTTTGTTAATAATTTTATTAACAATAATAATAATGATATGTGTATAAATATTGCACATATATTAATAAAATTAATTATTTATTAGCTTTACATATATTAGTGCTATGGTTACTTTATTTTTTGTCGTTTCATTTAAAATGAGGAATGTAACAAAACTAAAATTATATTCATTTTTTTTCCAGAAAAATCATAACAGTGCGGTATCATGCCAGATTTACCTATTGATATGAATAACATAACCCGCACAACTTTGAAGAGATGAATCTGTTAATGTGAAACTAAAACGGAATAAGTAGGAACCTAATAATTAGATTTACGCGAATATTTGACATTTTAAATAAAACGATTTTTTCGGATTTTTTTGCGGATTTATTTATTGAATAAGTAAGTAGATAAGTACGTTTTAAACATGTGCTAAGAAAAAATATATTGGAAATTCTCTTTGATTTCTGACAATGTATAAAAATACATACTAATATTACAAATGTGAAAGTTTGTGAGGATGGATGGATGTTTGTTACTCTTTCGCGCCAAAACAACTCAACGGATTTAGATAAAATTTGGCACAGAGATAGATAATAGATTGGAATAGTACATAGATTGCTTTTTATTCCGGAAAAATGTACGATTCCCGTGGGATAGATTTGTTTTTTTTCTATGGACGAGTCCTAAGCGAAGCGAGGGTGTTTCGCTTGTAAGGAAATAATCTTAACGTATATATGATGAAAAAGCCGCCGGAAACTATTTATATTAGGTATATGTATAGATATAATAAGTTAAACTTTTTCAATAACAAAATTAAATATTTAAACTACAGATCCTCATAAAGCACTTCAATTTATTCACTTAGAAAGTGAATAGAGCACTTACCGGTATCACACCAGTGACAATCATACCCTGCCATTATTCCAGCCGTCATTAGACACTAATGATAGTGTGACTCTACATCAAATGGCGGATAAGTACACTGATTTGTTAGTATTCTATTTGAGAAAAGCCGTATGGATTTTTTTTGGATTTACACAAATATATGTTTATTGTATTTATACGTTTAAAAAAATTATATTTTTTTAATTAATAACAATATATAGGTCTATATGTAGATATTCATCTGTAACTTCAACGTTTGTAACTTTTTAATCATATAGGTAATGTATATACATATTATTAATTGTAAGTATGTAACACAACCATTATTTAAAATATTGTACAAATTAATTCAATAGAAATTAAAAAAATATAATCGACGCCATTTTCTTGAACCCAATTAAGATTCTTTATCGTGTCACGAATAAAACAATTTCCACTATTATTATTTAATGATATTGGGTTCTTATTGGTGTAGTTTTGTTTGTTTTGCCCGAGTCCCGGCTTCTTGGGACAGGCGCCGACACCAGGATTTAGTGGCGAGATAGCGCGTGGGTGTCACCTAATGAATATATTTATTTGTGATGCCGCTCGGCACTTTTATCTGACAACAACTGAAAGGCCGTATCTAGTTCTGCAGTTTAGGTGCCCTATTGCTTGGAATTGTTGTTTTACCTATTAAAAACGGTAAACTAAACTGCGCTGATTTATTTTTAAATAAAAGTAAGTTGCTCTTTGCAAAAATTAAACCGAATTTGAATTTTCTTATATAAATATTACATCATAATTTACTAACGAAAAATAATCTAACAATTAAAACTATCATATTATGTAGATACGTACCTATTAAATTATACCAATTATATTATATGTAACAGTAAATTATCTATGATTGACACAATAATATAAAATTAAATTATTCTATCAAGGTAATTGCACACTAGATGTTGAACCTGATAGGTATTATTTTAAAGTAGAAACAAACATTTTACAATAATTTGCATGAAGATGATGAGTTGCTTCATTTAAGTTACATAAATAAAAATAAAATATGGGTACGTATATTTTTCAATAATTATACATATTTTTTTGAATTTCAACACAGTATATGTTATATATGTATCTTTGTTATATATGTATCAGATATACAGATAGGTATATATAGGTAGTCTATAACTTTGTAGTGACTCACAACATGTAAATTCATAAATACATATTAGGTAGATATATATTATCTGTACTCTTTAAGAAAATTTAATGGCTTCACATTTCCTCCCACTCTGCTATAGTTTTATAATAACAATAGGCCGAGGTGTCACCCAACAAACACAATGCGACGTCTTGCCTACAAATGCATTGCAATCGGGATTCAACACGTCGCTCGCGCAGAACTGCACGCCCAGTATAAATTGATCTGCCTTATACTCCTCTAACATCTGTCTATCTAAGATTATTTATATGATAGAGTGTCTGTAAACTCTGGTTTTTCATAGTATGCGACACACGTGACATTAGTCGTGGTCCGTCGACAAAGCTGTTGCCGCCTCACATACATCACCAATTTCCATTATAATACGTTCAAAATATTTATGCTATCTATCATGGACCACCCAGAAGACGTTGTGACATACGATCTGATAGCTACCTGCTAGAACAAAACAATCTATTCTTATTTAGTTCGCTACACCCTACTCAATTGACCCTTTGATTTTACTTTTTTAAATTAAATCTCTACACAACAATAGTTTTTATATGAAAGAGTATCATTATTCTTTTCTTAACTTTTTTATTTAATTAAAAAGTTAAGTATTCTCTAAATACTAGCCAACATATTGATTAATCCACTTTGATATATGCATAACGTTATTAATGGCGATTTAATCAACATAAAATTAACTTAATAAAACTAAAAATCACTATATATTTTAAATGTAACTTAAAGGTATGTATATATTTAAAGGACCATCTTGAGTTACAGTGCAAAGAAAATTAGATAGCTGTCTTTCACGACTATTCTATAGTATGATTATAGCTTGTCAAGGTAGTATTTTTTTAAATGTTTTAATAAGTCTAAACAAAAGTGTTCTTGCTCTTTTCATATTTAATTAGATTTAGTAGCTATATATCCTGTCAACCATACTTACACATGTGAGAACTATTTATCTTTATTTCAGGTTTATTTATATTTTTAATATTTGTTGAATTGTTGCGTTCATTAGG